AAAAGGTTTTAAGAGGACGCTACCCAGGCCATTTCTAAGGAGTAAAGTATAGGCAATTTTTCGAAAAATCTTTAATTATTGTTTGAACTATAATGTATACTTATTAAAACAGTAATGAGGATACTCAGATTGCCATTTTTTTCGTCAGACTATCGCAGTCATTACTATAGGATAAATTACAATCTAAACTGCTTTGCGCAGGACAAGTATGTGAGGCCAGTATTAACAGTAAATTGTCACAATGTATAGAGAAGAACTTTATCCATGGGGTAACGTTTTATTTTTTTCGATATCTATACTTAATGAGATGTGAATTTTTCGTGAATAAATTACGGGTGGGTTGCGTCCTCTTAATAGATTTCGACCACGCCAATTAATTTACCGGTTAATTTGTATAAGCTTCAAAGTGTTATTTTTAATTTAAATATTTTTTTCCATGAGTAAAAGCCATTTTGGTTTCTTTTAGAGTAAAAAGCTAGACAAAATGTCGATTACATAGGATGGTCTAATTTCAGTTCTGTCAAGAGATTCGAGTTCTTTGGCTACTTTACTAAGATAGGTTTTTTTTTTCTGATCAGTAATCAAGCTATCAAAGTCCTCAATTTAAAATTTGTATGGAATATACCCGTAATACCAATGAGCATACTTTATTATATTGTTATAACTAATATATTATACTATATAATATACAGAGTGATCCATTTAATGCGAAACACTAATTTTCTCAGAAAATAATTACAATTTTAGAGTTTTTTTTTTAAACAACATTTTTACCTGCGTTATTATACAATATTATTAAATGACCAAATTCACCTTTTTTAGTATTTTACACAATGCTATAGACTTTTGAAACATCTATGGGAGCGTATATATTTAATTAACTGTTTAAAAAATAATAATATATGCTAAATATTTGTATTAGTCGATAACCAGTCGTTTGAATGATTACTTTAAAAGTTATATTAGAGTTTATACTTTATGACCCGTTACGGGAAGTAGAGTGAGGTTGAATAGTGCGAGCAGGTAAAAATAATAATAACTAATAATATAAGTATAAAGCCTAGAAAAACTATACTTCGAACCATCCCTAAAATGACCGGCTTATTTTTTTTTCAACTTAATACATTTTACAAAAAAAAAAAATATGCACGTTGAAAAATATAACTGTTTATTAATACTAAACGATTTTCTTTTGGATTTTCTTTCTTTTTTTTAACGTTACGCGAAGGAGATTTTTTATCGCTGTTTTTCGGTGGTCGACCTTTAAATTGGATAGCCTTTCCTCGGCGCGCTAATGTCAACCATACAGTTGTCATGTCGGTGTTATTATTACGTAACTTTACATAAATGTTTTTCTTATAAGTATTAACATTCATTACTAATATTAGCGTATGCAATTTTTTATAAATAATAAATGTATACGTATATTTTAAAACTTAACCACTAACGCACAACTTAATTTAAACATTGACCACATAATAAAAATACATGTGAACAAAATACTGTAGTTACTTATTATTTTGGTACTTATATTTTGTTTCCCCGGGTCAATCAAACTATTTATATTTATATATACTAGGTTTTTCTATATTACACAGTTTTGCATCAAAGAGTTTCTTTTTAAGGTTTTATCAATTATAAGAATTTCTGAAGACCTATGATTATAGATGGCGAACTGGGGTTTAGCATCCCAAAATAGTATAAAGCCCCCGGGGTATATTTATTAGCGAATTTTAATCTCCCCAGTCCTCTTAATATTTGACAGAATCTCCCCGTTTCTACGATTTTCCAGAACTACTATGTTTCGAACCATTGTGCTGGCTTTTTTTTTATAGAATACCAGTCTCTACACTTTTTACTTACAAATTATATCAAATTTAAAATGTATAAATGAAACGATTTTATATTGTAATATTATTTAGCTGTTCATTTCAAACATTATCTTTTTTTGAAATTATAAGGCTAAGATTTTAAATGCAATCGTAGTAATAAAATGACAAATTATAAAAATATATTTTAAAAATGTAATTTACTCACAGTTGGCTACCTAATATTTGTATGCATTTAAAACAGTAAAATTATGCGTTAATGGCTATCAGCTGCGCTATCTATTGGTCACAATATGAAGCCTATTTTAAACTAAAAAACGATATTCTGCGAATGTTTATTAAACGTGTACATTACTTTAGAATTATTAAAATAAGTAGGAAAATGTGTTACAGCAGTCATATTTTATAAAAACTAAAGAGACCTATGAAATTATAATAAAACTGTAGTCATTTTTGAAAGAAACCGTTATTTCGAGGAAATCAGTTGATAAATAATATTGTTGATGGTCGATTTTGATTTTACATCCAATATTGGATATAATATTTTATTATGGCCATAAGTAATAATTACAATTATAATTATTTTCTTTAAGGGGCTGATTTTTAATATAAATATATTAAGATGAACGGTGAATTCTGAAAAACAACGAACTATAAGAATAGACATAGGGTATTAATATATCTTTTTATTAGTAGTTTGGCATAAATAAATATGGGTAACATTGGAAAACAACAACTCGGACCCTTTGCTGATTTATTATATTGTCCCTCGGGAATCAAAATATAAAACAGCAAATGAATGCAAAACAAACAGCATCGGGCATGATGCTTTTTAATTAGAGAGATGCATACATTTACCCGAAACGGAATACGGACAAAACTTTGAACAAGGGTCCATGGCAATAATAATAATTTAGAGTATTATCACTGGGGGTCGGGGCGTTTTCATAAAATAATAAACACTCCCCCGAGATTGCTAAAACTACAGTGTTGTGGAGTATTTAGATACAACGCCAGAATAATCCGGAGAATGTATAGTATAAGCGGTTACTGGTAAACCTAGCATTAAAACGTTTAAATAGAACATGCATTTAAAAGAAAAATAATTTCCATCAGCTAAATATTGAAATATGGATAATTACGAGTTAAGAATAATAAATGTCGACATGGAGATACGTAACTCTTAATAATATCACGTTCTTAATGTGTACAGAGTCAAAATAATTATTGTTATAATTATAATATGAAAACACACATGAACTGCAGCTGGTGCCCATTGTTTGAAGGTATTAATAGTAAAACTATTTACAGAAGCCATTAAAGCTCTTGCCTCTTTGTTAAAAAAAAGGATAAGTACTATTTATAGGTATACCGTATACAAGTAAAAACAATTATTATAAACCTATATCCTTTTATACACTTAGTCCACCATTTTTTATATTATAAAATCCCAAATGCTAAATTGTTACATAACCATAGTATTTAGTTTTTATTTTCGGAAAAATAATTTTTTTATTTTAAAATCTACTAAAATCTACTAATCTACTAAGAGTGAAACGACTTAGTTTAGCTAGGTACATTAGACTAACCAACTATTAATATTAACAAAATGTATAGAGCCAATATTCAATATCTGTATTGCATTGTTTTTGTGCAAAAAATATATCGAAATATAATAATTTAAAAATCATTAACAATAAAGGGAAAAGTATAAGAAAAGTTTTTTTTAATTTTAAGGAAAAAAAATAGAAATTAAGAAAAAATAAAATACTTATTCCTTTTTTTTTTATATATAAATGACATATATGTAGGTAAATTTGTTTGTTAAATTAAATTTTAATTAATTTTTTTGTTTTTATGTTTTTAACAACATAGCTACTCGTTGTAATGGGAGGAGGGGTATTGCGAATGCGTACTATGATATTCTTTGAATAAGTAATAGGAATTCGAATTTTTTCGAATTATGATTTGTTATTTATATAAAAAACGTCCAGGTTGTCCCCATTTTACCCTATTGAATTGTACTTTGTAATTATTTTTTGGGCCACTTGTAAAATAATTTAGTGTAGAACTATAATATAGTCTATCTTGTATAATAGTAATAACCAGTGGCAGTCTCCAAGTAGGAGAAACAATAAAAACAAATAGTTTTCCTAAGCGCCTCATATTTCTACGACGTTATACATAGTTTTGTTATATTATACTTTATTTTCTTTTTGGAATAATATTTATCTCAGAAACATTTGCAATGCGTTGAAGTTTTTGTACAGTTAAACTTTAAAGGATAGAGGTCGCTGCCGTATAGATAACTTAATCATTGTAGGTACAAACATTTATCATTTTTAAAATGTTAACTACATCCCGTCATTACTACAGTAAAATAATAAAAAATGTCCAAATAGAAGAAACAAACAAATTATACGTATAGGAAAGATGGGTTGGGAGTGAGGTGAAAGTGTATCATTCAATAAGGGCAAAGTTCTTATGTACTCCTCTTGGTATTTGCATATGTTGCATGCATATTTTTTTCTTGTAACGTAGAAGTTACATAATTCATGGAGCTTGTTTTGTAGAATAATAATTTTTTAATTAAATAAAATTATAACGGTAAAACGTTTTTTTATGACGTGTTTACCGCCAAGTGCAACAAAGGTTTTTTTTTATAACGCATAAAAATGGAATATGTAAATAACTTTTTTGAATACGAAAACTAAACAAACACTAAAAATTCACTTATTATTAAAAACGAAACGTAGGTATTGTATTTTTCGTCTATCACGAACAAAAACAAGATATAAACGATTATAATCGCCACTTTGTTTGTTTCAGATTAATTAAATCTAAGTATCGCGTTTCGTTTTCAGTGATTAAGTGATTGTTTTTTTACATGTAATTAGTTTTTTAGTTTTCGTAAACAATTATTAAAAATATCACGTTGACAGTATTTATTATAAATTAAGCAACGGAAAGCCCATTGAAATATTATGTGTCTTGATATTAACCTTGGTATTGAACGACCAGGATATCCGTTATTTTTTTTCTAGAAAAGTAATAATTACTATAATATTGTGTGTTCTAATTGATAAGCTTCGTGACATTAAGTAAACATAATGACTCGATTACGGAGTAATGCTATAAATATAAAGCTATTAATTATGTTACGCACTGTAATAGTGTGCTTACTACTGTTGTATAAAATTCAAAAGGCTTGGACAGTAAGTCGGCATTAATCATAAGAGCACAAAGTGATTAACTATAATATCAATTTTACCCTGGTTATGCGAGCGCAACAAAGAAAAATGAAAACGTTGATGATGGCTTTTTGTACCATAATAGTAGCCACGTTTTTGGCATACAGCGATGCTGTAAGTACAGTCAGAATTATATATTATCGTGATAGTATGTTGTTTATAATATTTTGAAGTAGTGTAATATTATAGTGTATGTAGTATAATACGACAATGGTGATCTATCTGTATGGTTTTTTGTTTTACATTTAACTGATTACATTATGCAAGACTGATTTAAAAATTAACTTTTTAAAGAAAAATTACAATATTTTTTTTTTTTGTTAGTAAGCCCGATTAAATATCATACATTTATTTTTTAGTACTTAACAGAAGCAGCGATTATAAAGACTCAACAAATGTTAAAAAGTGTATGCTTGAAGAAACATGCAGTTCCAGAAGGTTATATCCTGATCATTGTTATCCGATTTTTTCCAGACTAATATTAATTAATTTACAGATACATTCGTGAAATGCAAAAATGGTGAATTTGCAAACGACGAAACTTTAAAAGTATGTAATGATAAATATGTAACGTTTCTTTTAATCTATTTAAAAAATATAAATCTAATACAACGTATTGCTCCTTTTATTTTTCAGTGTTATTTCGCATGCACGTTGAAAACTATGCAACTCGTAAGTACATAACATAATGCAATTTTTCTAGAAAAAATTTAAGCAACACTTGTGGTTTATATATAGTAAAAAAAATTAAGTAAAACCTTAATCAAAAAAATATATTCTATAGTGAATATCTATAGGAATGTGAACCGGTTTGTACTAGGTATCTTGTCCAAAGCTGTACCTTATGAAGCGGTAAACTAGAAGCTAAGATAATTTTGGGGTGTGAGGCTCAGGCTTCGGAATGAATTCTGGAAAAACTTTAATTTTACTCTTAACTAAAAAAATACCTTCTCAATATTGAAGATAAAATTATAAAACAAATTATATATGTGAATATGAAAACTTAATTTTTTTCTAGTAATATTATGAATATCTGTTTTGAAAACAATAAAAAAGTAGTTTATTGAGTTACTCCTCCCAGAAGTAATAATACAAGTTAAATTAGTGCTACTATTGTGGGATAACACAAATCACAATAAATATACATACTTATTTTTTTTAAGGAAAATATAGATTAAATTATTTTAAACTATCACATAATTATACTGATATAAATACTATTTTATTAGTTGAATAAAGGTAAAATAGACATTATTTTGGGAATTTCTATCTTAACTCCAGAACTTGGACAAAAGAAATTAATAAAATAATAATTAAAAAATTAAAGAATACCGAACAGTTTACTGATAAGCTGTAACAGAGGTCAGTAGGTGAATGTTGGTCTATCTTTAAAATAATTTATCATAGTATTAAATATCTAATCAAAGTCACTAAAGTATTTACATAATATTGTGTTTTTAAATGATGTGAAATTTGCTTCAGAGAACTCCACATAACATTTTATACAATAAAAAAGAAAAAAAATACAAATGTTTATTATGAAATAAAATGGTTTTATGTTTACCTATATCTACTAGGCTACTGTATGTTTACATGAATGCACGATTAACTAGTAATTATAAGAAATTATTAATAATTATTCGCTCATATTGGCACAACCCAGGCGGATTTATATAATTCACATTGGGTCCAACATTATTTACATTCTATCGAACCTATTTTGTTATTCAATTTTTAAATAAATAACTGTCAATGATTGTCAATCGATTTTTTTTTTTTTTAATAGCAGTTTTTAATTTTTTTTAACCTGTAACCTATTATAATGTATGTACAATGCGGTATTTTCGTAATTGTAAACAGGTACAAAGTATATGAACTGCTAATACGTCGCGCATGCGTCTCGTTCAAAGTTAAATTGTTAACAAATAAAAGTTCCTTTATTGTTTAGCAATCGTCAAGTAGGTATATGACGCAAATAATTAAAAGGTTGTACATTTAAAACAATATAAATACCCTGTGATATCATTAAGATTCAAATTTTCGATTAAATCGACTTAGTACTCTTCTTTTTGTTGCTGTTTATTATACTGCTGGCCAAGAAGGAGATGATTTAGTCTAAAATACTCGCATTCAATTTGCAATTTACAGAAAATACAATATATTTAATTTTCACGTTTAATAGAAAAGTGTCGTTTGTTAGTTAACGACTGGATAGCAATTTAATTTTTATTGTCCGAGAGCATGTGCAGTATAAGTACTTTGTTCCAAATTAGTTTACCGATAACGGGGTTTTTATTTGTTTCAATTGGCGTTTGAGTATTATTTTAAACTACTATCAATATTACCTTTAAAATAATGTATTGTGTATATTTCAGAATTTCATTTTTTACTCACATTCTTCTTTTTACTTATTTATAATTCCAACTGTTTTGGGTCAGTCCCCCAAGCTACCTTCTCTCAAATAATTGGACTGTGATCCACAATCAAACCTGAGCACTACTAACATAAAAAAAAAAATTTTTTGTTTATGCTTCTATATTTTTGTTAGAAAATAATAAATATATTAAGAAATATAAAAACTGTATTAACATTTCTAGATTGTTGTTGGGTTTTTTTTGTTAATCGCACTGGCTCTCAATAATAGTAGCATACTACTTCTATGAAATGTTGATCTACTTGATCAAAATGATCAACTTCATTTGAATATAAGCTAAGGATCTTTGATCATTTTTCTAAATTCTGAATACTGTGTTTTATTGTAGGTATCACCAAAGGGTATACTTGAAAAAAAACCGTTCGCTGACAAAATGAGAATGTTGTCACCGCCGTCTATTATGGAGGTCATATTGCCAGCTATTGAACAATGTACAGATAAAGGTAATTAAAACAAAAAAGAAGATAACGAGATATTTTGTTGATTCATTTAACTGAAATCTTGCTAATTTTCAGATGTAGGGAACGTTTGTGAAAATGCCTTTAACTTTATGAAATGCTCATACGAAGTGAACTCTAAAGTATGTTAAGTTAAACGTTTAAAATAAAGTTAAAACTGTTATTATAAATAATCATACAACACAAGAATACAATGATAATTAAGTGGGGGTAGTTATTATCAGGGAAGTTTGATACAGAAGTTAAGTCTAAGTTCAAAAAATTGTAAAACTAACACAATTCTATCCGTTGTTTAAAAAAACAATAATTGTCTCATACAACAAGAGTTAATGTTTAATAGCATAAAGTATGGCTGGATTTAAAATTTATTAAATCTGATTTATGTACCTATACATACTCGTTTAACGAATTTTGTTGATACCTTATTTAATAACTTAATTTAGGTTATGGTATTTGTTTCAAAATCGTATTTCCTTTATCTTAAACTTGATAATCTTTTAAAAAATGATAAACTAAGAAAAATACATTTTCATGGGTAATAACTGGGTAATGTCACGCTCGCTAAAAAAAACGTTGTTTGTTAGAACATTATCATTTTTTAATACAAACTGTAGCAGGTATAAAATTTAAAAATGTTTTGTATGAAATCTATTTTTGCGATATAAAAGCAGTGCGCAAACTGTGATAAGATTATTTGTGGCATGACTTTGCAAAGAAAAATCCATACATCATAATTCATATTTCAAACTGTATTTTAAAAAAAATATCGGAGATTTAAAGTTCAACTCATGCCAATTATTCAAATATCCTAAAAGTAATTATTATTATTTTTTTTAATTAAAATGAATTAGCGATATAAAACTAATAGATAAAACAATTTTTAGATATTATTTAATAGTATAACTGATGTATTGCTTGAATAAGTGATTTACACTGAAAAATTATTAGGATACCAATAAATGGCTTGATAATGTACCGGACTGTAATAATTTGTGCAATAGTATTCAAGTTGAACTGATCAATATAATATAATATCATTGATTATACATTGTATACTATGTATTACAATATACTCACTCGCTTTACTATGTATATAATATATAGTCAAATCTCAATGATAATATAAAAATACATTTTTATATTGTTATACTATTTGACTTACGATAGTTATTTTGCTATAATACAATATTGTTTGGTATAGGTCGATGAGATATTATTGCTGATTATTACAATATTTCAGTGTCTAAATATTCTGCAATTGTATCAGTTCTTTTTAAGTTTAAACTACACTTTGTTGGTTGATTTCGTATTTGTATTAATGTTTTGTTTTCTATTTTTTTCAGACTATGAACTATTTTCCAATTTAGGAACTATTACCGATAACGTGTGAATGGGAAATCAAATGTGTGTCAAAAACATATATTTAAATTCGATTTATTTGTTATTTAACTACTTAGTACTTGCCCTACCATGAACTATGTTTACGCAATAATCAATTACCATTTACACGATTGCCGTAGAAAAATTCTTAATAATAATTGTTCAATAAACGTTGTTCTTTTGTATCGTATAAAAACATGTGTATTTAAATTTTCAAATAGTTTATCGCGACGTCTTATCAATAGCTATTAGTATAGGTAATGTTCAATTAGTATTATGTTACATATAAATATAACATATACATGTATAGTAACGCTTGTACTGCTATGGTACGTATTTAAACCGATAGCTTGTTAACCTCGTTAACGCACTCACAATCGCAGACTCCAAAGTCAACGCTGCTAGAGGCTGTTGAATATTTTTTTAGCTTTTACATGTTGTTAGTATAAATTTAACAGTTGTGCAGTTTTGGTGCAAAATGACTCAGATACAAACCAGACGGTTATTCGCCGGGCTGATGATGCTATTGAGCGTCGTGGCCGCGACCAACGTGAGTATCGATGACATTTGCAAACGTTATGTTTTCGATTTTCGATTTCGTTAAGGTCATCGTTGTTGTTGTGGCAAAAACACTGTGCTAATTTCAAAACAAATTTTTTTTTTTCTCCACCGAATAGGGCCGATTTACTCCAGAACAAATCGATGAGCTCGGAAAAGCGTGCAACGCCAGCGAAGGTAAACGAAATATTGTATAATTCCCCCCCCCCTCCCCCGAGTTATATTATCTAGTGGTGTATTTGCTCTCGTCGTGCTACTAATTATTGCAAGAACAATGTCGCCGAAAACGTTTTGCGAAACCGCCAAAAGTAGGCGCTGTAGAACGGATACTAATTTAATTATCAGACCGGTGCCAAACGGGTCTAGAAAGACGACGCACCGAGTTAAATAATGCAACATTCATTGATTTTCAAATGTCATACGGTCTTCGAAAACGTCCTCGTGAGTCGGCGTTTTACTTGAAACTTTTAGTGTGCGGCAGCTGGCACACTGCACATCAGTCAGTTTATTATAATTTTAATAATATCTCAAGATATCGTAACCAACACACGATACTGATTATTATATTGCTAATGCTAAATATCCCTTGGACGCCTATATCGATAAATTTGTACAGGCAGTGTATAATTTTTAATTGTTTACACTGCCACTTTTTTGCGTAGTTCGTATCTTGAACTTGAGAAGTATATTTTATCTTTGAACCATGAAGTATGATATTTTTTACCGGTTTTGACTGGCATCATAGTTTATCCCCCCGGTCTTTGACGAGTAGGCAATAAAAACTGTGCACTTGCAGTAATCTTGTTTGAAATTGTATTTGTTGATTTTTTTGCATTTTCAAAGGGAGGAAAATTGCATACAAAAAAAATGCTAAAACGCTAAGACACTTTCCAGAATGTTTACCAAACGGATTCAAAATAATATGTTTTTTTTGTTTATTATACGGATTAACTTTATATCCTTTATGAGTTAAAAAGCTTGCTTGTTTTTTTTTTAAATATAATTTTACATTTTTATACTTACTTCTTTATAGTTCTTATAATATTAAACATAACATTCGAATTAAAAGACAGCCTTCTTAGAGAATATTTTATGCATTCCAATAAAAAATATCGTCCAATAGGTGTGTCGGAAAGTGACTTAACGTAATTATTGTTTTTATAAAACACTCATCATAACATTGACAAACAAATTGAAAAATTATTATCATTTATGCATTAATTAATATTAGTTTATTCCTCGTATAATAGTTGTCATATTTAAAATACCTTCTACATTGTATTTTGTGCAAATATTGTCCCTGTTTGGTCCCTTAACAAAAAAAAACATTTTTCCAGATTCCGTTATTTTTCTTAAATCTTTAAAAAATATCTTAACCTATCAGTAATTTGAACGTTATTGATTCTTTAATCACACTCCACTTAGTATTCAATAAACATGTGCTAATTGTAATTAATTTCAAAACGTATGTTAGATTTACTAACTTAATTTCGGTATTATATATTGCATTATATCTCTTAAATAATAATTATTCAAAACATAATCTTTTGATCCAACAAGATTGAAATGACAGAAATTCTATGTTCGCAACTTAAACTATTCTATATTTGTACTATTTATTGATAATATGCGCAAGGATGAGATATTGAGATTTTTTATACTTGTTTGGGAATAACAATATATACCATTTTTACTTTTAATTACTGTTTCTAAATTTAAAAATTATTGATTTGTTAATAGCATTTTTTAATTATTTTTTTTCAGAGGATCTTGCCATAGCCAAGGCTTACAAGGTTCCTACTACAGAAACCGGAAAGGTATAATTTATTTTGATTATGTATTTTAACTTGACAACAATTTGTAAAATTACCGACGATTTTTAATTTGACTCTAGCCACATTTTAATATTGATTTATAAAAATTAATCTTATTTTGCTATAATTAATAAAGAGTTGAATAAATTATGTATGGCATCTACTCATGATCTTATTGGTAGAATGACAGTGCTGTAGAAGAGATAAAATAATTTTTGCTAGTATATGAGTTCTGGACCTTTAAAAGCATAGGAGGATAGTAACAATAAAGGATCTGAATGCAAGAACTGGTGTTTTTTTTATACAATATTAAATACTATAGTTACATTACAAAGGCCATTAAATATTTAATGCGTTATATATTTGTGCTATATTCTTGTCTATTTTTTTTCAATCTGTACACATCTTTTATAGCTATTATCTAGCATGACTATATTATGTTATTTTCACATTGTTTATTACCAAATGTATGATAACGTTTTGTAACATTTTTCAGTGTTTGATTAAGTGCATGATTAGCAAATTGGGACTGGTAAATATCGATTTATGTACATTGTATTTTTCACTGTTATTGCGTTACACACAATGAGTTTGTCTGTATTCTAGTTAAACGCAGATGGGTCGTACAATAAGATCGGCACCGCTGCTGCATTGAAGCAATATTGGACAGAATGGTCTCATGATAAAATAGAGCTAATAAACGACAAGTGCTACGCAGAAGGTAGATTTTTTTATTACACGCTTTTACGGGTACAACGTTTAATAATGATTTTATTATTTTATCAATTTATTAAGTATTACCTATAATTCGACGCCATTTAATTGAATTGCTTCCCTTTTACATTTGAAAATATTAAAATTGTCTGATGCGCGAGAGTAGGTTTATTCAATAGAATTTGCTATATTTCTAACGAAAATTCAATGATTTCGTTGATTTTAATTTTAAATTAATATACAATAATTATAATTGAAACATTTTCAATGACACGCTGTTAACATTAGCAATAGACAATGTGTAATTTTTTGTCTCGACCTATGTATATATAATTATCTCAAATCATATTGCCTATTGGTTTAGTGGCTTAATTTTTAGTTTTCTTTTTTTTTAGCCAGTACTGCGGCACCGGATGTGATACCAACGTGTAATTACGCATATAGTGTTATGGCATGTATTAATCTAGAAGCAAAAAATGTAAGCAAATTACAGTAAATTACATTTTTTAGTTATTAAGATGAAAGTCGTTTGTTTTATAAATGATAAATTATTTATCGAATATTTTAAAATCATACAACGATAATTATATCATAATTATCATTTATCTAATTATAAAGATAAAAATTTAATGGAGTAATATAAAAGATATTTAAAAAAAAACAGTACAGTGGGGCCGGAGGTGTCACAGGGTAATCAAAAAAATATGTACATTTTTCGATTTTTAAGGGAAAGTGATGACATTTTTTAACTTTTGACCCATTAAAGTATTATCCAAGTACGATTTCTGGTCTCTAGAGTTGTTACACATAGCAATTGGTCCAGTGGTTTAGTAGATATCGTAGGTACTCGCATTGAAGCGTTTATTTGAAAGTGATTTTATCACTTTCAATTGTAATAATTCATATAGGCCTGTGACATCTCCCGTGCCAATATGTCAAACCCTATTGTACTGGCTTTTTTTAAGTATGAAAAATAGGACAATTTCTGTAACAGTTTATTATCTTTAAGATATTAACTTATACAACTATATTTTTTAATAGTAACGTAGTTTTTTTCTATTTGATATCAGCGTTAAATTTGTATTTTACGTATAAATAAAAAACAAGTATTTGTTATGAAAACTGATCTGCTTTTAAACAGTTCAATAATAATTATAAATTGTAATTGACTTAAGTTTATGAATGCATATTTTGGCATTGATATTTTTTTCTTTACTTTTTATATTGTACTCGTACCTTAATAATGGATGTAAATATGTTTATTTAATTCTAGTTGGGAATATTGCAGTCATCATGATTCACGTCTAATAGCTGATGTACTTCACAAGGAACAAGAATAACCATTGTCGATCGCGATTAGTTATAATTTCATTTTTATTTACTAATTATTATTAATTTTCCCTTGTAGTTTGGCGATTAGCTAACGTTTACACGGCTGTCACAGTTTAAAGGATGTACAATGATTTTTCCGGTTTTCCCGGAGTCCTTGACACGTTTAATAAAGAATGATAATAACTATTGTACATTTGTTTTAATTATGTCAAATAAAACATTTACTTGTCTAAATTTGATTTGTCACCACCTGAATTGTTATAATTGTTTTATAAAACAAGCATAAACTATTTCCGCCTGGAAGTGGTAGTAGTAGAATTGGCATTAATTATTGTTCTTTGTTTGTTTTTCGCTGCTAACAACCGTCAAGTCATATAAATAGATGAAAGTGAAGTATAACGAATTATTCTGCCGAGAGAACTGCGCCTGAAAGAAATAGTGTTAATCGCATTTGGTTCTTATATTATTAAGTAAAATACATCAAATAAAATGTCGGCTATAAAAGTGTTGTGCTTAAGTTTAATGGTCTCTGTTGTTTGTGTAAGTCATTTTATTCATTTTTCAACACATTAAATATGTATAAATATTTAATATTAAAAAAAGTTAAATGAATATTATTATTGAGACAATTTTAAATTTTGTTCAAAAGTATAAAACACCAATTCATTTTTTTTTTAAATGTACTACTTGCTCATTATATTATAAACATTAAAAATGTGTTTAAGCAAATATTACGAACTATCTTTTAGAGTAAGAGTAAATTGCACAAGACTTTTTCCCATCGCCTATTTGCCTTAAATTAAAAAAATTCAATTTATTTACGCTGTACCATTTTTTAAATTTCACAATGTTATTGTTAATTTTTGTTATTTCTGGAAGCTAAATAAAAAAATTGAAAAAACATCATCTCTTTCCTTTTAAATTAATTGCTTGCTATCAAAATGACTCTAACTAATGCGAAAAATGAGATACATTAAAAATGCCACTATAATGTTAATATTGAGTTATGTTTTGGGATTCATTAAGTACTTATAAAACAAAATTAAATTAGAAAAACTTCGAATTTTAAATTTTATTTAGGTTTAATGTAATATAGTTTGTACTACAGTATATATTGTATTAGAATATAACCATTTAACACTTACATAATACACATTTCAGGCCGATGACAACTCAAAGAATCATGTTTCTACAATTTATCAAAAATGTCAGACAGAAGTGAAGTTATCAAACGGTAATGTGTTTTAGCCTTTAATAAAATGCGTTTATTAATTAGTCAATTATTATTACATATTTGTGGATCAAACCTTTAAAATGGTTTTTAAACTTAAACATACAAATCTGCAAAAGATTATCAAAAGAAAAATTGTTTATTGAAATCAATTTTCCATAATCTATAATAATCTATTATATGATGTACTTCTCTTGCTGTTTATTTAAGATTTTATAATTTTCCATTTGGTTTAATTTTTGGCGTCAGTTTAATAAACGTCAATCAACTCAATAAACGTCGCCTACCTTTCTGTTCTCATTCAAATGCATTATAAACTATATTTTACACAATACAGTCTAATCCACGGGTACATTATGACCCAAAAGTGCCGTGACATCCAAACTAATGAAAACTTAATAAAACAAAATATATCGGTAAAATGGCAATCTGTAGAAATGCAATAATAATTGTACAACCGTCTGAAACAGATTAGAATCAAAATAATAAATGAATTGTTATTTACAGAGGAAATGAAAAGTTTTCGATCCATGGGTATACCAAAGTCACAAAGTGAAAAAGTAAGCCTCTGTATTTGATATATCTTAATACATTTTATATATATATACAATATATATATTTACCGTCTTTATATTGTATATGAAATGGAATAACTCCGATTTGTTTTTTTTTTGTTTAGTGCATGATGGGTTGTCTGATGAAAGAAGTGAAGGTGGTAAGTGTCGATTAACAATCTAACCGCGTGTACATCATTATCCCATAGAAATTTCGTGACAAGGTTTTTTTATTTTTTGTTTAGATCAACAACGGAAAATTTTCGGTGGAAGGCGCGTCCAAAGTAGCTGAGAAATACTACGGGTCCAATCAACCATTGATGCAGAAAGCCAAAGGCATCATCGAGGCTTGCGCTAAAAAATGTAAGTTATACAGATTTTTCGTAAGAATTGTATACTTAACAGACCCGATTAAGTATAATTTTCAAACCTTAAGTCCCGAAATCAAGTTGAAAAAAAGTAAAATAAAGAAAACGTTTTTTTCGATTTTGGAGGGGAAGGTGTAATATTTAAGTACTTTTCTGGTATGATTTCTGATCTATAGACTTGCAACATGTAAAAATCGGTTCAGGGGTTTAGAGTATATGATGAGTCGGGAATATAGACACATTATTCTAAAAACAAATAACTTTTTCATCTTTGCATGGAAGTTAAAAATATATATACAATTTTTTTTATCAATGAAAATTTGAATTCTGACTTTATATTTCCGATTAATTGTAATGTTACTATAGCTTTGATTTTATACTTCCAAGTCAACTGTTACTAATCAACTTTTATGTTTTTCCTCTTTATTTAGCCGAGTCTGCATCCGATGAGTGTTCCGTGGCCGGAATAGTGACTACATGTATAGTGGAAGAAGCTTCTAAAGTGAGTTCCATTTAAATTTAAATAATAGTAAATATTATTAAATTTCTAACAGATATAGTATTAAATTTGATTTAAAATTTTTTTTTATACAACGCTTGTCATAAAAGTTTTCTATAAGGTACATTTAGATTTCATGCATAATTTTTCGGGGTCGAATACAAGTAATAGATTTTATTGGAGATGATTTTTAACGTACAAAATTAAAATACTACATTTTTGGATAGCTAATATTAAGGAGAAGTTCAAGAACTTTCCTAGCAAAGTGCCCATCCCATCCTAGTTACGTTTCATAACTGAGTATATTATAAATGACAATTGTGTTTGTATTTTAACCCTTATTTGGTTAAAATAAAATTTTGGCACGGGGTCTAATAAATCCCTTTGAAAGTGTAACCAATAAAAAGTTTATAATTTATTTAAAATTCAATATTTTTCCCTGTAATAAAGTGGAATCGCTTGCTAATGAAAACCAAAGAAATAAACATTTCACTATACAAACAAAATAATGACCAAAAATCTTGCTTATTTGCTACAGGCTGGTTTGAGCGGTGGACCAGGAAATCGTTCCACAAGAAGTATTTTACCGAATAATCAGAAATAACTCAAACGTCAACAATACATTATGTAATTTAAAGGAAATAACATAATATTTTTTTCTTACATAATGTTTGTACAAATAAATAAGTATTATTCCTTGTAGGTACTTTTATATTATATTTAATAAACTGTGCATATGCAATTTCCTAGTTGTGTGTTTCATTCTATTGGTTGATTTTAGCCGAATAGTGTTAACCTTAGCAATATAAATTATATATAAGATAACCCCAACAATGTTAAAGTTTATAAGACCATTATATATTTCATTGTCAGATCGGTCCGGGTATTTTTCTGGAATATGAACTAGGTTTTAGAAGAGTATTTAGATGTTTGAATAAATATTCGTGGCCTGTTAATAGTTCAATAAACGTACTCATTTGTTTCCTGCTCATAACTTTTCTAAGACCCTTTTGTAATATGCTTGGTGAACATCTTTGAATTTTGACTATCTAGGTACAGTAGATACCTCCAAATTCTTTTCACTGTTCCAGTTCTTTGGTAGTACCTTCAAAGCTTGCACATTGTCCTGATACCTATGCCAGTCTTACTTTGTTGTTCCTCGCTACGGATTACTAAGTTGTTCGGCATTCAAAGACCAACTTCAAAATCACTTGAGTTTTGCAACTCAGTGTCTTCAGAGTTCCTCGACTATCGCTTGGGATGGTAATGTTCCTTCCTTTGTATATTTTTAAATTTCGAGACATTTCGGGTATACTACAAACACTTCACTTTTTGTCGAGTGGTTTTCGTCTCAAGTCTTTTCTCGGTGACTTTCTACCTAATAGTGACTGTCCATAAAGAAAACAGGTTTCATACGGTCGCGAGGTTGGTTAGTAAGTATTGATCTACACCGGAGACGATCTTCCCATATTCGTCTAGATCACTTCTCCTTTTTCTAGCTTCCTAAATTATTTACTCTAAACGCAGTGGCCTTAGCTTCCAAGTAAAGCGGTGATAAACCCAGTAAAGTCTTTAACGCTACTTTTAGTGTTGTTCACATTGATTCAGTGGTGGTTAACCAAGCTTTCGTTTATACGAGAGTGAGATTTTCCCTAGGTGTAATGCGTTTATATAGTCAAAAGGATGGGTCTATTTTGGCAACTCACATCGACCTACCAATAGGTTAATTACTTGAATAATTAGTGGTCGGTACATTGAAATTAAGACATTTCAAAAGGTCAGGTAAATCAATACTTCCTTTCAGTGGCTCACAAAGCAATTCCAGGTTAAACTAAACTCAGAGCTCTAGAATAGTAATGAATCAAACTTGTAAAGAAACTTACAAAAACAGTATGAAATGATTTAATGTAAATAATTAAAATAGTGCTTAACCTGAAAGATTTATTAAGAATTCAAAATTTAGTAGCACTATCATTTATTGTTACAATTAAATTAATATTATTTTATGTTTTTTATTTATTATTGTTACGTTTACTTGTATACTTTTGTCGTTTGGGCTTCAATTAATCAATTACCATAATATATTATCATTTCCATCGCCATATTATTCTATTACAATTTTGAGTAAATCTTTTAGAACCTGAGTATAAACTTAGTAATTTAGATAATCAATAAAATGTAATTGATACTTTGATACTGGTTTGATTGTAATATAAAGTCATTTATTCGGTTCGCATCCAAAAAATTAGATAATACCGGCTAAATATTACTAAGTGAATTAACTAGTTGTGGTAGTGAAATAACATAGGTTAAACTCTTTTAACCACATTTTGGTCTGTTTGATTAGTGTAATTTGTGTGTTAAAAAAGAAGGAGTACTAATTAAAAATGATGATATGTTCATGTTTATTAGAACCCTCTGTGCGAAACGATAAAGCTTGATAAAGTAAGTGCTTTAATCTTTTCATTAGATGTTTTTTTATACCACACCATGCGCAATTTGTCCTTTGACGTTCTACCGTATTATTAACACACTACGCATTAGTATGCATATTAAATACTTTATTCGTTCAATTCGGATCAAATTCAAATTAAATTCAAATATAAATTCCCATGGTTGTAAAATAACCTTGTTTTCATTGCATACCAGTACGACGCAACGTCAAGACAAGTTAAAATTAACTAATATACCTTTAATATTAAATATTTATACTTGTATTTGTTAATGGTACCTATAACCTATTTAATTACATTAGACTCGATTTATAAGGTACACATACAATTTTACTAAACTAAAACATATTATAACATAAGTGTTCATACCATTGCATTATGGTACGGTGTATTGTTTTTATGTTAAACAATTTCGATACTATGTTGTACATAATAATATAATAACAGACATGTATAATAATATATGAAGTGATGTCGTAACTAGGCAGTCTTGTGTTTTTTCATGTATTCGTCTTTAAGTAGCCGCCGAAGGATTTTTCCCGCCGTGCTCTTGGGTAGCGATTCGACGAACTGTATGCCACCTGTGATCTGCTTATACGGTGACACACGTGTTGATATGAAGCTCTGTACGTCTTCGGCTGATGGTGTTGGTTCGTCAGGGTTGACCACAACAAACGCGAGGGGCGCCTCCCCAGTCCTGGGGTGCGGCACGCCCACAACAGCCGCGTCTAAGATTTTCGGATGCGTCCTCAGAAGACCTTCCAGTTCAGCAGGAGGCACCTAAAAAATATATAATGTCTATTAGATTTGGATTTGAAGACGAAATGGTCGACTTAGGTATTTTAATGTTTTGTTTGAAAAAAATAAGTGGAAATATTTACATGTTTTACAGTTGCAACTTTATTTGCAAATTGGCTTTGTCTACGTTTTGGAAGCCTTTTTAATCTGGGCTGTGTGGCTGCGTGCTGGTTACGGGTTGTTCGCTCCGCTGCTGTCTATAGACTGAAGCGACTGATAAACCCATTACGCGAGAAAGATGACAAGAGAAGCGATTGAAATAGAAAAGTGTCCACTACAGAAAATATGGATAGAAGACTTAGTAAGACGTGGAATCCAGTAATAAGCCGACTGAGAATAAGGTCTAGAGTATGTCGTGATAAACATGAAAATGAGTGGCGGGAAGGGCAGTGGACAATAAAAACTATGATCGCTTCAGTCTACAGGCAGCAGCACACATAACCAGCACTCAACGCAACCCTTAATATGGAACATGAAAAGCTTTCGAAACGTTTGCAAAACCAATTTGTAAAATGATTGAATGTTATATAACATATTTTATACCGCGTCTTAAAAAAAAAACCGATTTGCTAAATAAAATTTTGATTTGATTTTAATAAGTACTTCTAAAGTTACAAGCAATTAGCAATAAAGAGAGTAGAGTGTAGTGTTATCGAAAAGTGTGTATAGATAAATATTGTTATATTACGTTGGGCTACTAACCGGGCTATATATTTTTAATGGCCCGTAAATTATAATGACTAATTAGGCAAAATTGATTATCAATTATTAAATTTACGTAGCAGTTTATTACTGCTCGATAATGATATTAAAGTGTTATAATTAATAATCATAAGGGCTTCTGTTTAAAGATTATACCATATAATATCGGCTTAAATAGAAGTAAAAGTACAAAAGTTAATGCTTTTATAAGAAAATGTACTTTTTGAGCAAGGTCGTAAAAAAAACATTAAAAACTATACTGCAACACTCAGATTTAAACAAACATATAAAATTAATTACCATTACACGCATACAGGGTGCTTTAAGGTGTATATAATTTTCTTTATTTGTTTAGAATTTTATCTATATTTTTTTTGTATGTCTTATTTCTAAATTTCAAATAAATAGTCTTTTATTTTTTTATCTCTTTGATTTTCTATCAATCGTCATCTCTATCCTCCTCTATTCATATCTGTTACTGTTTTTAGCATCCACCCATATATATATATATATATTTTTTTTTTAAAACATATCATTACAATTTACATAATAAATAGGTAACTTTTCCCGCCTGAATTCAAGTGGTAGTCCGTGGAGTATATTTTTGTGTACGGTCGTGATTGGATTTTCATTTCTAAATATAGTTTAATAAAAACTATTACTCAGCGTAACTTCTGAGGTCTAAAAGATCATTTTTACTTAACACTTAAAGTAAGTAATAATTTACCAACAAAAATTGTTATTGGCTAACAAAGATTATAAATTAAAAAATACAAATTATAGTTTAAGAAATTTGGTTTTATTTGTACTCGTTCATTAAAAAAACAAATTTATATTTTGCTATATTTTTTTCTTTTAATAATTTTAGTGTTAGATTTATCATTAAAGTTTTTTAAATTCTTTCAAAGGCTATAACAGTGGAAATTCTGACGGTTTAAAATACAAGTTTAGCGTTTACATAAGGTAAGCTATTTTATTTTCCAAACACATTACCACGTACCTCACGTTTGACATATTTTATTAGTATTGCCAGTGAATGTTTAGGGAAATTAAAAGTTTTACAGTGAAAATAAATGTCAAGAGCCAAGTCGAAAGTTATTTGAAGATTGGGATTTTTCAGATGGATGCACAAACCTGTTATTAAAATACATTCTCGGAAGTAGTTCTACTGCATTCTTTTAAGTGTAGAAGAAGATTAAATATTTAATCGCGTTATCCTTTCTAATTTAATTGAAAACATTACTGGAGATTGTGATGAAATTACTTTAAGAAAAATGATTCGTTAAGAAAATCTGATGGCGCGGGGGTTACTCATTGTGTACTTAAAATGGTAATATTAAACGAAAATGTATGCTTTAGTATTTTTTTTACTCTAATTCTTATTTATGAGTTGTACTTCAAGTTTATTTGCTTAATCAGTTCTTGCCAAGTACCTACCAAATGTTAGTATGTACTTCGAGTACTTGAGATCATAAAATTCGACTTATATATTATGCCAAAATTAGAAGAAAAAAAAACCGTTTTGAACATTTAGTACTATAATTTGTTTGGTTAATTAGTATACAATTTAAATAATTATAGTACTAACCTGGTATCCTTGGACCTTTATTAATTCCTTTAAGCGGTCCGATATGTAAAATTTGTCATTTTCATCGTAGTAACCTATGTCGCCGGTAGACAACCATCCTTCAGAATCAATAGTGCTGGCTGTGGCTTCTGGGTTATTGTGATAGCCGAGCATCACCTAAATATGAACACAATCCGACACTAGATACTATGTACTACTAATTTATTTATTCTTCTACGAGTTCGCTGTACCGACTTACTTGAGGTCCTCTAACTTGGATTTCGCCAACTTCTCCTGGACCATATAACTTACTGGAATCGTCTGGATCAACAATTCTAGCTTGTGTGTTGGATACGGGAGGGCCGACCGTCAGATAACTGTTTCGATCACTATTTTGAGTCACAAACACTAACGGTGATGTTTCAGTCATACCGTATGCTAGATTGACACAAACAACAAAAAACTTATGATAGGTCAACCGCTAAATGTTTAAAATAAATTATCTTTTTCCGACTATGAATAATACACACATACCTTGTAAAAATCTTAATTCTTTATTTTTTGCTTTGTTCAATATTTTTTCACCGTCTGCTTCTTTAACGGGACCGGCGCCGTTGCAAATAACTTTCAAAGACTCAAAATGTGAAGGGGTAACTCTTTTATTCTGGCCCAATAACAAAATCAATGGCGGAACAGCGTATAATACTGTAGGCTGAAAATAAAACTCTATTGAAAACAAGTTCTTCGTAAATGTACGATTTACACGAAGTAATTTACTTTATCATCTTTAAGTATGGATAAAAAACGTTCGGATTCGAGTTTTGGCAATGAGATCAGTTTGTTCCCGTGCAATAACCCGTTACACAAGAGTATCGTCAAACCATAAATATGATAAAACGGTAATATTGCTGGTAATACATCTTGATAGTCAGCTAGAATATTAATAAATAACTTAATTAATTAATTGTTTAAATAAGCTATGTGAAACCATACATTATAATTGTATTTGGTTAACAATTTTTTGTATTTCAATAATTATATAAGTATATTATATTTACAACATAGTAACAATATAACATATTTAGTATTTAGAAGCACTAATACATTTACTTGATTTAATGATATTACAAAGGTAATTGAACGGATATCAAACGTATGAAATATTTTAAAAAAATAATTAAGTTTGCTTTAGCTCTAAGCTTATGATTTAGTTTTTTTTTATTAATTTTTTAATAGATTCACGATGTTATTATTAGTTATATTATTCATTTTATGGTTTAGTAAAATGCAGGCCACAAAAATAAAAAAATATCAGGAGCAGTTGTGTAAGTTGAACTTACGCTTGATTAGAAGAGACAAACTTAATAGAAGAATAGGTGTCCGATATCGGATTTATATATATCAGTAAAAACAAAAGAACATAAAAGTTGTACTCATTATCAAAGCCGCTCAATGGTTTCATAGGCCGTTAATTTTCGTGATGAGTTGGTTTTCAAACCCCATCAGGTTCATTTAAATACCTTTTATTAGCGTACGAGGTCATTCATAATTTCGTTGCAAATAACGTTTTAAGTGTTTTGAAAAAAATTAAAAATAACTAATCATATGAATATATAATGTACAAAACTAAGTAAAGCTAGTATTTAATTATATTCTATGCAGTGTTTTCAGACAAAAACAATTTATTTAAAAACCCTACACAGTCTGATCACATGTATAAAAACAAAGAAAACATTTAAAAACTTCATGTTCTAGTAAAATACTTTTCAATTAGTTTTTAGCATTTGTTTGTACATATGTCATTATAAAATCTAATATATATGCGGGATTGAAGTTGCGTTGTTATTAACCTTCTGTTAAAATTATAATACTTAGTTTAATTAAAAAGTATAAACATGTATTTATATTTATTCGCACGGTGGCCAATTTTCGTACGCGGATGTGATTATTCAACATAATAATATATTCATTCATATTATTCTTATAATGTTATTGTATGGAAATAGCATTGTGCATTGCGTTGTCGAGTAAAAATTGTTAATTCTAGTCTTAAACAACAAGTTTTAGGTAGTTAGATAGGTTTTTTTAACGTTATTACCCTGTTAACAGCCAGTCGTCAATGCGCATTAAGTTAACACAGATTATTGTAGTACCGTTGATTCTGCTTGCATTGAAAACAGGTTTACATACGCCTTAATCCCGAATGGCTCTCTTCGTGCTAGTTTAATGCGTGTAAGCATTTGATTTAAATTTACCATAGGAATCGAATATTTTTTTATTTATTGGTGTGTGTTCTAGCGAATATTTGATAAAAATAATTTCAGTAATAAAAACGTTATAAAAACAGTAACAGTTCTAGCTAACCCTAGTCCAAATGTCAAATGTAAATTAACTTATTTGAATAAGATGAAAATTAAAACTAATTTACCGTAAGCCGGTTTAATTACAAGGTTAAAACTCCACCAATTAAATCAGTTCAAACGAGCATGTAAACTAAGTAATTTTCTCAGATTAACTCACATTATGCTAGTGTCAATTAACGATTGTAAGTAAATACAGTCGTTAAAAGAGAAAAACTTTAAGTAAAAATGTTAAGCTGTAAACAGAAAAAGTAGGAGGACTATGAAGAAGAGTGTAATTAAAAAATTCTAAATTATACGACCTAAAGTTGTTTTTCGCAGGAAATGAAAAATAAAATAAATTTACTTTGTTGATACACTAAAGACAACTACCGAACATTGCGTCTTGTAAATCGAAAACAAAAATTGTATTTTGCTCTTATGTAAAGTTGTGTATAAGCAAATTGTATTTTTAACGTGGTTTGGACTGGATATAAGAAATTTCATATCGCCAGTAACACTTTTACTAAGAGATAAGTGATAAGGAAATATATCCGCGATTCAATGTTTTTTCGTGGCGCTCAGAAAATAACTAGGTTTTTTTTTTGGGGTAGGTACTCAGTTCTCACCACTTGGATTGTGGGTTTACTACGGTGATGTTTACGTGGTACTCACGTGTAGTGTCAACCACGTGTCTTATATCAGGATGGGTCATTTGAGATAGGTTGCTGTTGATATTTTTGTTGGACAACTCGACGCCCTTCGATAGTCCAGTAGTGCCACTCGAGTACGGCATGAACGCCAAACTATTGTTAGGTCCGGTAGCCGATTTGAATTGGGACGTGTCCACGGACGAATCGATCATTTCGAAAAAATCCCACGCATCTTCCGCTCTGTAACCGTTCAGGTTGATGGAAATGTTGAAAAAGGACTTCTTTTCGGTGGCTGCAATCATTTTTTCCGCGTCCAATACTCGTGGCAGAAGTTCATCGATAGTGACTACGCCAACAACTCCGGAGTCTTTGAGCTGATGAGCTATTTCGTCTAAACATTAAAAAAAAAAAAAAAAACATAACATCTCACTGAATTTTGACATGGTTTTGTCTTATCGCTGGGGGTCATCCTAAAAAATTGTCCGAAACGTCACACCCGTCGTCGGCGGAGGTGAGGAGGGGAGGGATTTGAGATAAAATATTAGATATTAGAAAAGTACCAGGGTCCTATACTTGCATATTAACACATATCCGTGTTCTTAAGTGCTTCGGTGCAGCGAAGGTCATGCCCACTTTTTAAAACCAATTCAGAAGTATTTGTACTATAGCGGAACAAATGCGATGAGAGGTAAAAGTCCCTTTCATATTACAGTATGCACTTGTTGAAACATTGGTGTGGAATAATTGCAAATTACGGTTACCTACATGCCGTGTACAAAGGATTCATGGTGGTCACTACTATGCCGGCTTCATTGCAGCCCAGAGCACAGACGGCAAACTCGGGAATGTTAGGCAAAAGTATAGCGATGACTTGACCCTCGTCAACGCCACGTTTTATTAGACTAGCAGCAAACCTTTTGCATGCCGACCTCAGTTCAAAGTACGTATACTTCCTATTGGTTACACCGCAAACCTAGAACAAAATTAAAATCAAGTTCCTTTCAAATTTATCGCATATTAAGATTTCTTTGTAAATTCGTGTTCTAATTATATTAGGTATAATAGTTTTATTTATTGTTAATATTAAAATTATTTAGGACACTATTGTTGATCATTTTTTGAAATTATTAAAATGATAATATGACAGATAATGTACGTTTTTTTTTTTTACATATATGCGTTTTTTATTTACTGAGATGTGTGAAGAAAGCTTGTTTTTATAATAACAAGGGTCTTATTCATTGTAAGCATGCGATTCGCTTGAGGGGAAAAAAGTAATTTTGTTGTGTTATTATAGTTGGTTTGATGGTTTTTGAATTCTTGGAATTCACAAATCCATTCCCATCTGTTATTCTCACACGTTTCGAAACAAGTTTGAACTACATGACGAGTCAATCCTGGCTTCAACGAAACGGAAACATTAAATACGTATAAAATCGTATTTTAAGTTCCTAGAACATGAGCATGTACTTTGACATAGTATTATGAATGGCGTATTATCGTGAAAATAATCTAACATGTTAATCAAAAAAATTATTATAAACCGTCAGATCAATATCAAACACCTTGTAACTTCCCTGCCTTGAAGGTATTTCGAAGGAATGTAATATATTAGCTTAGATTACTGTAATATTCAATGAAATTGGCAAACTTCTAAAAAAAATGTATACCTATGTTCATAAATGACAATATTTTGTTTATCCGTCCCTCCAATTAGTTTCAGTTCAACGATAATACTCAATATAATCCCATTATTATATTATTATTATACCGTTATTTTTTTATTGTATAATTTCATTATTGTTAGTTCAAAAATTAAAATTATAATCAATTCTAAAAATCCGTTTTTGGTTGTGCGATTTGTTTTATTTGTAATGGTTTTTTTTTTTAAATTCATCAATGGTCGATTACATTTGAAAACATATACAATGCATTTAAATATTTGTCTCTACATTAACAAATACAGTGTAAGATAATTAAATTTAACACAAACATATACATAAGTGTTACGCTGAATTTCCTAAACATTATAATACAAACAAATTATAACTGTTATTGGAATGTCAATATTGACAATTTTTGGACGGGTGTAACATTTTTAATTAACCGGGGCTGATTTAGTCTGATCTAATATTTTCTACTGCCTAGTAATAAAATGACAACATTGTTAAAAGCACTAACAATAGTGTGCTAATATGATAACGTTTAAGAACCCAAATAATACGTTTCATACAATACTAGAATAATAATATACTAACAGGAAGAATTTTTTATTATTCGACGAAATAGTTGATTATTTAACAAACATGAATAAAACGACACGCAAGTAATTAAATATTTATTTTTCACATTATTGTTACAAAAAAAAAATCGTAAATTGTAACTAGAATGTTTTAAAAATGTGCAACTTGTAGTCCGAAGGAATGATTGTTGATTGAATGGTAGTTTTATGATGTTAATGCATCAGACAAATTTTCGGGAGAATGTTTTTGTGTTAGTTTAGATTGCAAAACTGAAAAATTATTATTTTTAACTGTTTTGAGTCAAAATGACCGACTTAAGCTAACCGGTCGATATAATTTCAGACACGTGTAAACGTAATTTCAATTGGATTTTTTTTTTTTTTTAGTTGTGCTATTAAATGAGACTTAGCAATCGCCTGGAAACCTCGACATTTAAAGTTTATAAATTAAAACGCCGCAAATACAATTAAATCGTACACCGCCAAGACGTCATTACGTGTACTTTTATGACCGAAAAAAAGCGTACACTAAATTAAGCAGGACAGACTTTTGTCCTTTGTAATTACAATTTAATGTACTATTGTGGTATAATATAAAATGTAATTATAGAATATTCGATGATCGGATGATTTCAGTAATTTTATTTTGTTAAGTTGAAAATTTACCAATAGCTACAAACACTTTTAAAATATCAATGTCACACGATCAATGCGAGTTCTAAAGTTATTCATTACTGTAAATGAGATATCTAAAGTACATAGTAAGATTTTTAACCTAAATTCAACCTAGGCCTTTGTACCCACGACAAGTATTATTTACCACAGCTTCACGGTCGGGCCATCTTTCTAAATTGCGCCATATGTTTTCGTAGATCAATCCAGATGGGATTTCCACGTCTGGCAAATTTGAAGTGATCACTTTTGTCGCAGTTGAGTCAGTTCGCCATCTAGCAGGTTGTTTGCGTCCTGTTCTAGACCATACAGAACAAGTTCGCTGAACGTTGTCTCGGATCAACAGGCGGCCACAATGCTTAATTATTAGTACCATATTCGTGGGTAAATGAATGCGACTTGGCCTGAAAAGTACAAAATAGATCGGTTACAGAAGAAAAAAAAAGTAGGCACAGTGAGTTTGGGGGAGATCACGGGTCTTTTGGTATTATTTATAGCTGAAAGTCATAAAATCAAGAATAGTTTTGATACCAATCAACACCGTATCGATGCTAAAAAAAATATTCCTTACGTTTTTATCAAACTTCAAAGAGAATTTTTTTACAATTATTATACGTCAACATTAAATTTACTATATATTTTTTAAGCAGCATAGTACTTTAAAAAAAAAAGTGTATAATATTAAAAAAAGGATAGTATAGTTTTATTTAAAAATAAATACGAACAGCCAAAAAAACCTTTATTATAACACAGTATTATAATCACACAACTGCCTATATGTTTTTTTTTAATATACTTAATTATTTGTCCATCTACAGATTCACATCAAAGCGTTTGTTCCCGTTATATGGCTTTATTTACGATAAATACGATTTTATTAATTTATTTTCCAATTCAAATTTTCCCTAAGATGAAAAAAGTCTATGTGTTTTAATAGGTATGCAGCGACATAAATGTATTTGTTTACTATTATTTTAAATATTTGTTTTGTTTTTCGCTATAATATCCAACACGTTGGTCAATAACGGAGTGTCTAAAACGGATGTTATGGGTTCTTTTTAAAGATATTTATACGGTACTCAGACGTTTTGTTGGAAGCTGCTAGTAGAAGTTTTGTAATCTGCTTAGATCTAAGGCCATCAACGCAAACTACAAAGTCATATCATTTATATATGTATATTATTTTTGTTTTCCTTGTTACCTCTGTAAAACAAACTTTAGACTACTCGCCAGTTTTAACGACTTTCAGAGGAAAACTTTAAATGCGCAAAGCAGTAGCTCATGAAAAGAAATCACCTCGATATTTTTCGTCCCAAGGGTAAGTTAAGTAAAAAGGCCATATTCTTTAATAGCAGCATTAATATTTTGATTTATGTTAAGAGTGCTTGTTGGCATTTTATTATTAACTACATAATTTAGAGTCAGGCAATACAAAACATGTGGAAGAAATGTTATTATCTATTAATTCAAACAACGTCTAACAGTATGTATCTCAATGATTTGAGATATCTCGTTTCTTTTGAAATCGAAATGTGCCATAAGATTTTCTGATTATAATCTTTGCCGTTTTGCACAGACCATTTGGACCGGGACCAATATTTTAGACAAGCGAAACAATAAATTTGGCAAATAAAGATGTTACAAAAAAGTGCTTGTATTGCTCACAAGGAAAATAAAAAGAGATAAGCATTTTTGCCAGCTTATATATAAAGTAATCGGTAAAATCTCTACATTAGATGTCAGAAGATAAGATGGAACAATCTGAAGATTCCAAAATTAAAAACACTTTTACATCTAAACGATTTTCAATCATACATAATTCAGACCAAAATTAATGTCCATTCTTAGACCACACTTTTTTCTAACAAATTGTCCAATACTATCAATTATTAATAATATTTATTTAAATCTGGTATAATTTTTTTTATGATAATAAAATGAACTATATTGAGCGCGAAAAATATGATTATAAGAAAACGGTTTTTATAGTCTGAGTCTGTTAGGAAAACATAATATTTTGGAGAGTCACACACGACAGTTGAACTATAATATACTTTTATGTAAGCCAATGCAAATAGCCTTTGCTGTCAATACTAATTTTATCGGTCAACGAGTACATAAAAATAATTGGGTATAATAAAATAAAAAAAGGTCGGGACAAAGCATTTCACGCGTCAGTAGTAATTGGTCATGAAAAAGTGTTCTTTTTTCTTTGTAATTATGTGATTTTTATCTTGACTTTAGTCGAGCATGTTGATAAAATAACGACTTGCTGTCGCCATTTTTCATGGAAATCTCTATAATATTATCGTATGATTATGGTTAAAACAAAAACAGAGCACTCTACTGTTCCCCTTTAGAGAACGTCTAGTGTAGGATAACAAGCGAGTTTCAAACATGAAACATACATACTATACAAGTGGACAGTATAATACAGGGGACGAGTATGATGATGGTTAAGCTTGATCCTTAATAATAAAACAGTGAAGTTTAACATTTATCAAACGCGAATTGCAGCGATAGTTATAATAATATAAAAGCACTAGAGCAAAACAAATAAAGTAATACAATTTGAGATAATGATAAATGGAGGAAATCAAAAAATGTTATTCCTTATAAAAAATGAACAAAAATGTCAAAAAAAAAAAATGTTTTTCATCACGGTGGCGATGAAATAAGTGCCTCGGACGATCCGTTGCATAATTGGAATATAAATCAAGTGTATGCTAGTTAAGATCTGTTGAAACGCAATGTTTGAACTTCAGTGTAAACATTAAACGTGATCGCGCATATGGTTAGCTACTTGTGTACGAATCTGCGAATATTGAACACATAATATTATGCAAATAAATTGTTCAAATACATGTATGTTGATTAGGATTAGGGCTAATACAGATACTACAAAAAGTGAGCTGCATAAATATTACTCCTTAAAAATGACGGTGTCGAGGCCCATTTAATTAAACACTAAAAATGAACTCTAGAATAATCGAATTGTTGTTGTGTGGTGGCATTGCGGTTGTTCTAAAACAATTATTATTGCTTACAATACCCCTTAGATAATATACATATCAAAGTTTTGTCAATTATTGATTTTTAACTCTGCAAACGAAAGTTCTGGGTCGTCCTTTTGTTTATAAAGTTTGATTTTAGCACTTAGCAGAATAAGTTCTTAAGTCGTAAAGTGTCGTTCCAGACCAACGACACGGGTTAATTTATGTGTTATTCGTCAACTCCATCTCCTTCATCTCTTCAGGGCTGTAATGAATATTACAGCTTGCCAGACACTTTCATTAAGTTTGTTTTCAACGGATTTCGCGAGTAACTTTAGGTTCCAGTACAACTGTGATATTAGCTTACTTCTCAAAAAAAAGTAAGTTTTAAAGTAATTTTGCCTAATACACCGTAACAGGTTAATAAGACTCTCATTAAGAATTCATAATTATTTTTATTTTTAAAAAATAAGTCAAATTGTGTGTTACTTATAGTGTTTGGAATTAAATCTAAATAGGTATTGCTAAAGAAAATAGTTTTGAAACGTTAATAAACACAGTGTAATTAATCTAATTTGAGCATATTATTTATTCATTATCAGCAGACTTCAATTATTGTTTTTATTGTTCATGAGTAAAAATGTTTCGAGTTTTTAAATTAACTGTAAATAAGCTTAAGGCTGACATAAGAACTTAATCAAAATCTGAACACGGATACTATCATGTTGACTGTTCATGAAACAAAAAGCTTTCTGGAAAAAACATGCGACCAGGCCAAAGGGCATGCCTTTTAATTGATAAAACGTGTACAATGCACACATGCAACTAGATTCAAACACGACATGTTGCTGAAGCAATGATAATACATTATAAGCGTGTATGTTTTGTTCTTTTTAAATAGAGCAAATAGTTGTTGAAACTCGCCATTCAGCATTCCTCATGAACAGCAAGTTTTTTTTTAACTTATTAGGAGAAGACGCGTATTTTTAACAAAACCTGTCCAACCAACATAGAGATTGTTACTGTAATTTAAATTAATCTGTACCACTTACAGCAAAATGAAGAAGCAAGTTTAATCAAACCAACAAACCTCCCACAGTATTCATAAGCATACAAGGTATTATTATTATTATTAATATTTTGATTTGTTATTATTTTATACCTGATAAACTTGCATATCTTACACAGATAAAACCAAAACCGGTTCTTTATTTACAGTTTATACATTCTATTGCATAATGAAATTATATTGAATAAGCATATTCTCAAAATGGTGACAAATGACAATAATAATTGTCAATCGCATATTCTAGTTTTAATTACTAAAACAATAGTTAATTTGTCAATACATTTATCACGAATAACTAAATTAAAATAGCCTTAGCAAAGCGTTTATTTGAAACAACTATTTATCAACTATGAAAACAAGTTCTCTTATATTTTATTGCTTTATTTTCTTGTTACCGGTTTTACTGACTGATAGTGCGGGGTTATTATGGTATCTAAAATTATACGTGTATATCTTATTGCTTAAATTGTTTAATCTTGAGCATTCGCAAAAGTATATTTGGTGATGTTTTGTATATTGTTTATTTTAATATTATTATTTATTTATTTCAAGTCATTAAATGAAAATAACGATGTACTTACATCGTTTTTAATATAAAAAAAAATGATAAGCTATGTTAAAAAACGAATGGGTCTAATTGAAAGTTTAAACGATGTACTTCAAGAATTGTAAGATATTTATGACTTTTTGTATACAATATTAAATAAATAATACCTATTGAATACTTACAATGTGACTTCAATCATATCAATTATCATTGATATGTAACTTCAGTGATAAAATAACTGGTTGTTAAATTATTATTACTAAATTTAATACTTCAAAAATCGTTGAAATTATGTTAGGTAATTTATGTCATGATAGAATAATTTTTTACAATATAGTTTGAATAAACATTGTATAATATGTATTGTATACAAATGGTTAATAATGCAGCAAACAAACGTAATTTAATTAATGTATTCTTACTATAATTAAATAGAAAAAAATATGCAAGTATAATTTTGAAGAAATTAAACAATTGAATAAATGGAATAATGAATTTATAACAATTGTATAATAGAATTTATAAATAAAAATTGCTATTGTTTTAGTTTTATGAACTACAATAAAAGGACAGAAAAAAAATCTTACCATTTTCCGTTTTAAATTATGCGTGAAGCATTCTTTTTAATATTAACTAAATAAGATATTTAATGTGGTGATATATATATATATATTATATATGATTTCAAACACATTAAAATCAACTCGACCTGATGACATTTTGCAAAGTTGTGGCCTGACAAAAGTTTCTAACTTAAAAAACCAATACCATTGAGTATATTATATATTACGCATC